TTCGGCTTGGTCGGCTGGTTCGTTTCGGGAGCGGTTTCGGTGCTGACCGTACGAGTGGACGCGGGGCTGCTGGGAGACCGGCCGTCTAGGATTAGAGGCCGCTGTCGAGTTCTTCCATGTCGTCGGGGTCGTCCATAATGTCTTGGAAGCGTTGGTGAGTCGTCTGGGAGCCTCGTGTTATTGTACTCACCAAGCTTGTCCGCGCCTTGCTCTTCCGGGTGGAGGTGGTGGGTGGTGAGTGGAGAGAGCGCCCGATGAAGGGGCTCCGTGTGGAGGGCTGAGTCGTGGCCTCCACGCCTATCTTTACGTGGGTCGTAGCGTCCGGATTCGGAATCTTGAAGGGTGTCCGGAACGGGCCGGTCTTCGTACATCAAGAGTTCTTGATGTGCCGAGTTCGATTCGAGGGGCGGCGTGCGTTCGGGTGCCGTTCGAGGGTGCGCGAGGGTGAGTAATATCCGAGTTTGCCTATTGTCGAGAGTGGTCAGCGTGACTTCGAAGGCACCGTACGTACCCAGAAGTCGGCGCATTCCCGCCGGGAGATGCGCGAGCGTGTCGGTGAGGGGCGTCCATTGCCCGCCGCGCAAGGGACGGGTGAATAGTCGCGCTTGATAGCGATCATGAAGGTCTAGAAGGAATTCGAAATGGTCAGTAACGGTGGCCACGTTCGGGGAACCCGAACTGGCACGGGGCGTACCTTGACACTGCCGGACGGCAGCGTCAACATGCGCCTGGATTCGTCGGTAGTCGTCGTCGTCGAGGTCCGAAGAGCCGCCTCTTGACTGGGCGCGGGCAAGTTGCGAGTCGGCGGCGGCGGCGATATCGTCGATTAAGTCGTCGGCGTCAAGAGTCGGGCGTCGGGGTGGCGGTGTTGCTGAAAGATAAGATCGCATGTCGCTCTCCTCCATAATGGGCAGTCGCGTGGCGAGCACGTGAGGCGCGTCTTGCCGCGGCTTCTCACGCCACCGGTGACGTTCCGGCCCGGCGCGTTCGCGGATTTCGCTAAGTCCGTGCTCCGTAGTGAGGCCCATTGTCTGTGAAATGTTAGTATTCTCGTCTGAGTCCGTGCCGACCTTGAGTTTGAGTTGCACGTTGTGTTCCGGGTAGTTGAATATGAGGTAGGTGCCGTCCCGTTCGATAATGTCGACAGAATTTGAGGATGTCCAAGGTCGCCCTAGCAAAAGAGGGAAGTCAATAGAATCCGATACCCATAATTGGGCGATCGTTCTTGCTCTTCCGCAGTCGATGGGTACTTCTCCCACTAGGCCAATTAGTCGTCCTGTTCCGCCGTTGACATCCTTTACTGGGAAGGTAACAGATCTGTCGAGAGGTCGTTTGATGTATTGTTCCCAGATGGTCTTGTGCACGATGTTGATCATAGAGCCGGTGTCGATGACCGCAGGTATAGTGTTGCCATTAATTTCAGCATTGATCTTGATGAGACTCTGGCGAACTTCTGTGATGCGCGATGGAAGCTTCGGTGCCGGTGTATTGTCGCCAACGATTCTTGCCACGGTGGGTCCGGTAGGTTCTGGCTCCTTGTTTTCCTTGAGTTGAGACCTGGTGGGCTTGTTATCCATGATGACTCGCCTAGAGATCTCTGGAGAGATGGCGCAGAGTTCCTGTTGAGTGAGCTCGACCTTGGCGTTGAGGAACCGATTGTAGATGGCGTCGTGGTCGACCTGTTCAGAATTTAAAGATGTCAGTTTGCCAGTCTTCTGAGCTTCGCGGTCCTTCTCCTGGGTGGTAGGCGAAGGTCGTTTGAGTATAGTGACAGGCGCAAGTTGAGGATCTTCCATCACAACGTCCGAGTCGTCCGAGTTGAATGCCTTGTCAAAGACGTCGACTGGTGTGTGTTGAGGCTGGGTGTCCGCGGGCTTGGGAGGATTTCGCTGCTTGCCTATCCATCCTTTGGTAGTCATTTTGGGGAAGGAAGCGTCGTGCGCTGGGATCCGATTCGCTTTTGAGGCGTCCTTGGGTCTGGTACCGCTCCGCAATCCATCACGTGCCATATAGACAGTGACTTCATCGTCGCCGTCGTCTTGTTCTTGCTCATCGTTCAGCCAGATCTGGTCGAGTTCTTCTGGAACCACGGTGATATTGGACCTGGGGAACATCCGCTCGATGGTTTTGATCATAGGTTCGCCTGGAGTCCTAGGTATCGGGTCGCCGTTAGCTTGAACAACTCGTCCGTTGACCGTCTTGATGTAGTGCTGATCGTGGTAGGGCTTGAGATCTGGGCAGGCTGCCATCCTGTGTCCTGCCTGTCCGCATCCGTAACACATAAATTGATGCGCTCCAAAGTTATTGGGGAATGTCGAGGTCGATTGCTGTTGATACTGTCGCTGTGGTTGAGGCTGTGGCGGCGGCGGTGGCTGTGGCTGTGCTTGCACTTGCGTCGGCATAGGTGGAATCGGGTTGTAGTTCCTGTTGATAGCTTGTGGCGTCGATTGTGCTGCAGTCGAGGGGGCCATTACGACTCCGACAATGTCGGGGTCGATCTTCTTCGCTCTGTAATATAAAACCGTGTAAGTTGGGTCGTTCAAAGACATACCGTGGAGCTGTGTGATGAGGTGCTCGACTTCTTCCTGCTTCTTGTTGTCCAGTTGCTGTGGATGTGCCGATGCGATGGTGTCCTTGGTCTTGTGCTTCTTCGCCTTGTGGTGAGATCTCCAGCGGTCTTCGTCATCTGATTCTTCTATTAGCGTGTCCGATTCTGAGTCGTCGTCGTCGTCGTTGTATCCTGCAAATGGGCGAGGCTTGCTAGAGCGTGGTC